CCCCGTCCAAAAGCCACTTCACCCGTGCTTTCTGCCTCCAAAAACCCTCCTCGAGTGTCAGCGCGCGCCGTAGCCGCCCTCGAGCATGATGCAGCTCACAGCGCAATTGATCCAAGGGATTCAGGTCGTATTTCATCTCGGCATCCACTACCTCATGCTTTGTGCATCGAGCTACCTCAAAAATATCACCAAACAAATTCTTAGACCATTGTTTGAGAAATTGTTTAACATTCCGAAGCTTCATTGCCAATATATGCAGGGGACACCCACTGACCGATTAAGACCAGCAATCTTTAACCACCCCAACAAGTCCTTATGTGTGGTCCAAACATTCAAAAAGCGAAATGGCCTGGGTTTATTGTCCAACCTCGTAACGGGGAGTGATCTGATGGATCACGCCCCAAATGCTGGACCATGACTTGTTGCTGCATCTCCAAAGCTAACTCACTTATTAGTAGTATGTCAAGGCGCTTCCAAATCCGAGCTGCACTCGAGTGATTATTACACCAGATATACCTCGACCCAGAGTACCCCGCATCACTCACTCCCGCCACTGACATGAAATTCAAGAAATCCAATCCTTCCGTCGGTGTGAATGGCAAACTGCCCCTTTTTTCCCCCTCATTTGTAATCACATTGAAATCCCTTTCTTGGTCCGTGCGTTTAGTATGAATACATGACAAACTAATGGAAGCTGGAAATAGGTGAGATTGTACTTGAATAGTTAAATATTGGGGCGACTTCCCGATACTCTAACAGTTAAACAAAGACCAGTAAAACACCCAAACAGAACCCCACTGATTGGTTATGCAACAGTCCATCCCCAACTTTAGTCTAATATCAGTAATATTCTCCAACCCCGTCTTTAGTTCAACAATTACCACTAATTGTAATGAGTACAGTTTGATAAGTTTCCTCAGTCTTTTTAAATTATGAGCTCAAGTCACTCCCCTTATATTCCAAAAAAGCAACTTAATCATCAGATAAGACAGAGAAGGAATTTGTTGATGCATTAACCATGGATCTTAGAGTTCTATCAGAAGGGAAACCTGCACGAATACCTCGCGACTTTGCAAAGGACATCTCCTTCAGTCCCATTTTCTCCTACTCATGGTTGCCAGAGATCACCACCGGGTCTATATGCAATGTTTCCAGCAGCGACGCCTCCCCTTGAACAGCATTCCTGTGACATCCGCCCCTAGGGGATAAATTTCCCACCCGTCGCTGAGTTTCCTGTAGTTCCTCAGTCCTCCCTGCGTCAGCTAAATCCCTTGCTGTCCGCCCTTTTGCTTGCACCCCACCAGCCTCCTTTGCCATCCCCTTTCCACTAGATTTGATGCTCCCCTCACCAGTCCCAGGCAAGGCAGTCACCTCCCCTTCGCTTGTCTCTTCCACGGCGGCCATTGCCTGACTGTCAGCCGCGACACTCTTCCCCACAGCAAAATCTGGATGCATATCTATAGTGGGTGGTCGCATAACTGCCCCATCAAGACTCTCGTTGGACTGCCCTCCCACATTATCCTTCGTGCTGATAGGAACAAGGTTCGTAAGTATCGGTCCCGCCTGAGGCTCAGCCGCGGCCATCTGCAGCCGCAAGGTAGACGTCTTCCCAATCACTTTCGCTGGCACCTTGCCATGGTCATCTGTGGCAGCCGACTTTACATGACCTTTTATATTAGAAAATAAAATTCAATACAAGATTCTTGCATAATATTCTAATATTAGGATAACAAGAAATAACATTAACAAACAGATCAAATGGGAATGCCATATCCTTATTTAGCAATAGTAAAACTTCTCTGGACGTTCATAGTTATGCCTAGTATAGCATTTGTTCCCATTTTCTACATGCAAATCTTGGGAATGTGCAGCAGCTAGCTTTTTGTAACTCCAGAAACAGGAAACACAGACAGTTTTAATGGAACCAAAGATGGAGATTTCCCTCAGCATTTAAAATAACAGAAGCAAGGAAATCCAAAGCCGCTTCTGTGACAAGCTGCATGCTGAGCTCCCTCCCAACTCTTGCATTGGCTATCGCAATTCTCAGTTTTTATGCATATCCCAGTCCATGTCTGGCTGCGCTTCGAGCAAATTTTTCCTACTACCTCCGCCATCTGTAACTCTGTATACAATAAGCAAGAACATGTTAAAAATTTTCAGTTTTTTTTGTTAATTGTTTTTGTTTATGTGATCAGAGCATGATGCTTAGTAAAGCTAAATCAAGTTTACCCTTTCTAATAGTTTCTAAAGGGCCCTAAAGATTAATGTAAATATGTGGTTTTCATGCAACTCTTAATTTTCATAAGGAAGTATAGTAGGCCTAAGTAAAGAACGAGAACAAGTGAGGGGCTAAGTTATAAATGCCGGTTGACAGAAAAGAAAAAGTTGATGACCGCATCTCAGAAAATAAACAAAAATCCATTTGTTTATGTAGTGCAAGAGAGTTGCATTTTTGTATCCAACTTTGATAATCTCTCTTGGACTTAAGACTATTATTAGTAGTTAAGTACTATACTAATTCTTTTTAAAATTTTGTTATGTAATGGTAATATTGATATATGACAACATGCCAGAGCATTACATACTTGGGAAATTGGAATAAAGAATGACTTCAGGTGCGTGATTCACTGCAAAGTTTGGTATAAATAGTGGAAGTTTTTGACAACTAACCGATTGAAGCAATGAGGAGAAAGCAGAAGAGGACTGCAACCAAGGTCTTGTAGCTGATCAGTTGAGATTTAGCCATTTCCAATCTTTAATCTCTTTGCAATTCGTGTTTGAAAAGAGTAAAGATGACATGTATATATAGCAAAAAATTAGTCTGTGTTCGGGATCTGACCTCACAAGTTGAAAAACGTCGAGTTCAAACTGATTATTATAATTTGTATTACTTCTGGTATAAACTTAGTACAATTTTGAAGTAATTATAAACTGTGCATCAATTTAGTTGTATAAGTTGATGAGAAATTTCTAAAATTATGATGAATTTTAAAAAAATTCTACAAATGGGGCATTTTGAGTGTGGGGTTCCATCCAAGGGATCTTCGCATTCAGCAAATACGAGCTCCCTCAACTCGCATTTGCTGAATGCGAAGTCTCTTGAATTTTCCTCCAACGAAATCCAAAAAAAAAAAAGAAAAAAGAAAACCAGACCTCGCATCTCTTAAATGCGAGGTCAGTTACCTCGCATCTCTTAAATACGAGGTCACTGTGCTCAGACCACAGACCGCAGAATGCGATCTCATCTCAAAGCTCAGACCCCAGAATTCTGGCGTGATGCCAGGAATACAGGAGATGGCACGGTCGTGTTACTAGTGCTGCTTACACCTCCCATGTCCTTGGTCTTGTGGAGAAGGAATGTTCCAGACAGGATAGTCACAAAGCCACATACTTCAGAGACAATTTGCGATGCATTTTGACTGTCCCAGTCCTGCATGAAAAGTTTGAAAGTCAGCCTTTTGTTGCTCTGATTCGTCCCTCCTCCTCCCAATCCACAACACTAAAATATATATATATATATATATATATATATACACGAAAGGAAAAAGCTAATAATAAAAGCCAAATGAAAGTACCTTAAACATTATAATGCTAGCTAGGATGGTGAGGGATGTAAACATAACATAATATACTGGGGACACCACAGCTGTATTAAAGGCATCCAGTGCCTGCAAAATGACATGTACAATTATCAGATTACACATTTTTCAGGTAACTGGAATCCATTGCAGCAACATAAGAAAGGTACAACGAATTACAGTTTATCTACAACAAAATCCATAGTCAGAAATTTAGTATCACTTGTTCATGGAAAAGATAACAGGAAAAAATCAAGAAAGGGAACATTCGTGCTCTCTGAAGAACTGAAGAATTTGCCTGTCATAGCAAATGGTAAAGCCAAAGATAGTGTTCAAGACACAGATGGCAGAATTTGCTAATATTTCAGTATGTCTACTTGAAGCCAGTTGACGAACCTTGCTTTTAGACCAAAGGAAGTGATTTATCTTGCCCCAGGGACCAGTTTATTGTCATAGCGTAGGAAAGGAATCTCAATATAGTGTTTGTTTATCAGTGCTAATAAGGATGTAAAGAAATAGGCAGTAGATAACCATCATTTTCATATGATAATGCACTGATTGTTGAAAATTGAAATCCATCAACAAAGACATCATTTTCTTTTTGTTTATGTTAGAGCTGTCACGAAATGAAAAATATTGTCCTGTCAGAGCTCTCCTTTAAAAAATATTTATTTTCTATGAGTAAATGCGAGCTCCTAAAAAAAGTAAATATAAAAAATATTTTTGTTTTTTTATAGCTCGCATGTAATAGTAAATTTGTTTTCTTGGAGCTCGCATTTACTAATAAATGCGAGATCCTTCAAATATAAATTTAAAAAATATTTGTTTTCTTCGAGTACTAAATATTTAATTAAAAAAATTAAATATTTTAATTAAAAAAATATTTATTTTGCAGATATCTCATTTACTAAATGCAATGTCTAGTACAATCTTATTTTTTAAAAAATAATTGTTTATGCATTCATTGAGTGCGAGGACTAAATAATTTGGATCTCGCATTCGATAAATGTAAATTCCTAGAAAATTATATTCAAAATTTGCTTTTTTTTTTTTAATTAGGAGCTCACGATCATTTTTGTTTTTGCATTGGCATTTATCATAGAGGAATAAATCCATATGAATAATATGGATAAGCCATATGAATGTTTTTGAGAAGAGGCATTATTGCTCCGAATTGGTTGCCTAATTACTTTAGTGTGGATATGTTCTTCTATGCTCTGCGGTCCAACGAGGAGAGTGGAAATGCACAGGGCTATCTATATATGCACATATTTTAGTGAAGAGTGATGATAAGCAAATGCTTGTTGGCATATAAAAGTAATCAAGTAGAGGGTGTTTGTACTAACAATTCAAGAATTAATGAACTGTGTTCATATTCAAAATAATGGTTGATTTGGAATATGGAACTTGCAAATTGCATCTATATCTTTTTTGACATTTCTTACTTGGAAGGAACTAACATGCTTGCTCAATAAAAGACCACAAAAAAAAATTAAAGAAAAAAGTACACTGGAATGCGGTAGTTGAGTTGTATTGCACCACCTTCAAAAGTATACCATAGTAAGAAAATTAACCAAGGCCGGGTTGGATGTATGTACCCTCCTCAATGGAGTTAAACTAAAACAACCTAATTAAGAGGGATTCTTAATCCTGTTGAGGAACTTGAGAGAGAGCTGAGGTTAAGCCATTTGACACGGGCAAAAGCAAGGAGCAATTTCTTGCGATGAATGTCATTGCTTTGAATTTCAATGAACAAGAACTACAAGCTGAAGATTGCTGGAAATGCACTGAACATTCATTTTTAGACATCTGAAACCAAGCAATAGAGCAATTCAAAAATACTCTTCTTAATTCTTGGTACTTGTTTAAAACAAAAAATGAGACTGTATGCAAGCTACTTCACATGTATAGGACAACGATGTGGAGGCCCCAACAGTTAAGTGGTAAATTTGACGTGAGATCTGTACAGATAGCCCACTGAGGACATTCCCAAGGATGTCTCTAGCAGCAAAACCAGTAGCCACTCCTGCATGGCAAGTCAAAGCATGATGATATCAATTATCAATGCTTCTTAAATTTAAACACAACTCTTCTTTAAAAATATAGAATGCAAGCATTTTTTCCCTTTCAATTGGATAAAAAAACCTCTAATAAGAATTTTCAAAATCAGGAGAGCTGAATCAAAATATTCACAGGTCTTAGTGCCATTTTTTTTTTTTTGCAATAACCAAAGCAAGCTCTTTGCCTTTCATTCTATTTTTACTTTGATCAAAATATGACCATTTAATCCAACCATGGCATAACTTGGTGACTACAACCTGTTGCTTCCACTACATTCATAAATAGCTGTCTAATAATCCCTATAAGCCCTCCCCCAGATACCAAGTTCTTTCTTAGTGACTACAACCTCCAGCTTCCACTACATTCATAAACAGTTGTAGACCTCCCCCTGATACCAAGTTCTTGACCCTGAAATATCTTCTAAAAGGCAGTTTAAACCTGTTGAGCTGCTATGAGAATCACATAGGGATGCGTAAAGGAAAGCAAAATCATGTGGGAGGAGCAGCTTGGCTGCTGTTGCTGTTTCTATTCGTGGCGCTGCATTTTTGGAACTCTATCATGTACTATTGGGTTCCTATTGCTTCTTCCTATAATCAAGTGGATTATGACGAAAATTTTTTGGGGTAATACGAGTCAGCTTATTGTTCTTGTGTGTATATCATTATTAAATCAAGCTGAAACAAATTATATCCAGAGCGGTGCATTTCATATTATATCCACAACTTCACTTAATTCATCATCTTTGAGGCAGGAGGACGCCTCATATATTGCAGAAGTTAGCAACTTCTGTTCAGGAATTTTCACAAACGCCTTGTATACATCCATAAAATCACAGGAATTTACACTTTCTTGCTTAAATATCGCTCCAAAAAATATCTATCTAATCACACGAATTTACAACTCAAACACGAGACCAAATGCATCAACAAATGACACCATCATTGAAGACTAGGCATGGCAAGCAAATAAGAGACAAAACGAAAGAACAAGAACGCTCAATAAATTGCCAATCAGAAAAACCATTTCAATTCAGAAAACAAAAAATCCCAGAAAAAAAAGAAACTCAGAAAAAAAAAAGAAATTCATTCTTGGAAACCTCCCTTGAGGGTTTGTCTAATATCACTTAAAATTCTTGAAATGTTAAAAATATCACTAACTTCGCATTGGATTGTGCTAAAAACATGAATAAAAGAAAAGGAAAATAGAAAAACTCCAACTATCTCTATCTATAAAATTTCAATTGTTAGAATGTACAAGCCAAAAAAACTTTACGTGGTGGATCATTTATACTCCATTATTGACAAAAATAGAATTAACATAATACAAAGAATTCAAATTACATGTATGTTTATTTTTCTAACTTAATTATATTCTTCGTTTATAAAAAATTTTGATGATTGTGGTTTATATGCAATAGAGTCATGTATATACAATACTTTTGGTAAAACATGATATTATCAATATTTGATATGTTAGAATTCAAGCTATAAATCAAAAAGTGTTTCATTCATGATTTCAAATTCAATCTTAAGGGATATGCCAACTACATTGGAATGTTTTCTGTCTCTTTTCATTTAATAAAATTTTTAAAAGTAACTAGCTTAAAAAAATAAATAACATAAAAATACTATATTATGATGTTGATGATCAAAATTTCATAAAAAATTTTTAGTATCTGAAAAATAATATATTTTAAAATATTACAATCACGTGCAAAGCACGTGAACTATTACTAGTTGATATAAATGCTTGGGAGAGTTGCCGTAGCTCCTCCATCTCCAACAATATGGATATGACCAACTTGCTAAGCAGAGTGTTAACCAAAGCGAGTCAAGCTGTATATGGAACCTGTTATAAGTTCTGTTCAAACATTGATGTACACAAAACAACACAACCTTGATCAATTTCCTGAGATATGTACAGGAAGTGATCAGCTCAATTATCTCAAAAACCAACATAAACTTCCACCTACAAGCCTTGTGAATTTTCTGATCAAGTTAATATGTTTCTAGATGCTTATCCAACCATAAATTCCATTATAAGGAAAAATCAAACACTTTAAGCATACAATTTACAATCACTTGCTTCAAACACCAGAAAATTCATGACAGCTATAAGAAATAAACTCTTCAATTTGGTTCAAGAATTTTGGATTGGACTGGCGTCCATGATGTACCAAGATCATTTTAACCCCTGTTGCTAAGGTAACATAAAGCAAGGCATTCTGCAATAATTTAACTAGGTGGCAGAACTAAAAGGCTAACTACGCAAGTGAGACTGAAAATGAATAGAATGCTAAGAAGTCCAAGAGGTTAAGTTCGTTTCTAGCATATTCTCCATATGCTAAGAAGTCCTAGAGGTTAAGTTGGTTTCTAGAATATTCACCATATGCCATCGTCAAGAACTAGAAATTATGCCATTGTTTCTTTTGCTTTTTAGAAACTAATATGCCATTGTCAAACTCAAACTTCATGGCATTAGAATTTCTTCAAAAAAGTGACCCTTATACAGGTTGTATGCCCCAATCCCCAACTCTTGCTTCTACCGAGCTTGCAATTTTTTCCATGGTTGATTGTATGAACAGATTTAAAATATAAAAATAAAAACAGAGGAGTTGTACAGTCCGGAATGGGTATATTCATTCTAGTTCCTCAACCAAGAAAAATTCACAGTTGCCCTCACAATTAACTAAGATTGGGATCAAAACTTCCATGCATTCATAAGCCTACATGCAAGTACAAAATATTTAGATTCTTCAAAATCCAATCATATTAGGATGGACCTTACTGACTATACTCAATGATCAGATTTAAGATGGAAGAAGGTTGAATGTTGCAGAAAGAAAGACCACTGTGCCAGCAGTGTGTCTTGAATAGCAAATGGACTGGGTACCTCAAGGTTTCTAGCCATGCAAAAACAGTTATTTAGGTGTATTACCTAAGCGAGCCTCATTATGCAAATGTTGATGATCTAGAATTGTTAACAGTGATAACTCAGAATTGTAAGACTAGATATATGGTGCAAGGACCTACAGGTTTTTCCTGCATCTCAAAACTATACATAGTTTCTCAATAAGAAGCAAAACTTCAAAACAAGTAGCTAATACATACCACTACTTAAAAAGGTAAAACAAATTGCATCGTTTAATAGTAAGTAGCTAATAGCAGTTTTTTTTTTTTTGGGGGGGTTACAAAAGCATGAACTAGAACCTGAAACCTTACTGGTCTGGTAGCATTACAACCCATCAAGGTACTGAAGAAACAGCATTACAACAAAACTAAAAGATGGACAACTTAACTTAGCCACTAGAATGCCACAAACAGACTATTCACTAAGAGAATCCTAATTGATTCAGCATATTTTAAGCATTAACCGTATATTAAGCAGCCAGCTAGTAAACTTTCAAAATTGCCAAGTTATAAATAGCAATGCCAATACCGTGGATGCTAATCACGAAATCCAACTTACTGGTATCATGCAAAAATGCCAAATGGCTGGTCACATGAACACTAGAACCAAGTCAAAGTTATCGGTAACTCAAAAGAAAATGAAGCAGGACTAGCTGTGAAGTTATATGCAAATACCACTAATTTTATCTACATCTGTCTCTGTCGTTTTCTTTCTGCATTTACGTTTACTCTGGCTCTGCGGTGCAGTGGGTCATTTGACCCAAGGATTTCCCCTCCCTGAAGATATTTCCTCAGACTCGACAGAAAAAAATGGAAAAAGCAGCACAACCCACATGATATTTACATCCAAATTTGACATCAAATCTGAACTTTACATCGGATTAAAGTATTAAATAAATATAAAACGCATAAAAATCAGGCTTTGCAACAAAAGTTCATACCTTTTATGCTGTTTGTGAGCTACAGAGCACAGCCACGAATTTGAAAGCCATTTGCGAAGGGAAAAGAAAATGTGCAGCGCAAAGGGTCACAAATTTGGTTGGGGATGACTGCTGAGGCAGAAATGGCAGCTGGTTGGCGTGCAAATGGCGTCTGGTGGAAGCTCAACAATGGCGGACAACAACCGACGAGAAAGAAAGAGATTGAGGGATTTTGGGCAATTTCCTCTTGGAAGCTTGGACTGGTGTCTAGCTACGCAAAAGACGAGAGAGTGAGCTGGATGTGCAAAGTTTCGTTCCAATTTCTGCCCCTCTGCTTATGGATTTGAATGCCGAATGTTTGACGTAAAGAACGGAGCTCTATTTTTGGGTTTAGGTGAAAGAGACTGAGAAATACGAGGTACTTTCTTTTAAAATATATATATATATCCTAGCTCGTTAAGTTCGCATTCAACAAATGCGAACAACCTCATTTTAGATTCGCCTCCACCAATAGCTTTACTTGTAGAAACTCTTTTTTTTTTTCATCATAATTCAAGAATTTACTTATAAGTTGATAGATTCAAGTTTACATCTAAACTACGTGAGTTTACAATAAATATTATAAGAATTATAATAGTCAGTTTGAACTACATAAACTAGATAGAAATTCAACTTATGAGGTCTCGATCCCTAAATTAATGATTTATTTTTAATATTTTTCTGAGATCAACTTTATCAATCAATAATATGAACTCAATGAGTTGTGCTCAGTGGTACAGGTCAAGTAGTAGACTTTGATGCATATGGACAGGCACCACTTGCTAGATTAAGCAAGTCAGATTTGTTCAATGTACCACGTGTGTAGGGTCATGAGCAAAAGAAGCAAAATACAATGGATTGGAAGTCAAAAAACTGCGCGCATTATGCAACAAGTTGACATGGTTGCTACTGATTGAATGTCAAAGTGATCCATATCTTATTTGTTAGTTCCTTTTCAATCAGCATTCTTTGTTATAAATGTTTTTTGGTTCCTCACACAAGCATAAATGAGGGAAACAATTTTGGACATATCGGCAAATCAAGTTTCAATCTCTCCTTTTTTTTTTGGGGGGGTTGTGTCGGTAGAGTGTTAGGTCCTATATTGGCAGGACACTTATTTCTTCATTTTTTTTCTCTTTGAAAAACACTTTAGTAGGTTCTTGGTATATGAGTTTACTTGTGAATCATATACATTTTTAAGAGATACATTAATTTTCCTGCATCATCATACATGATAACTACCACTTTTTGTATGTCATCGTATGTCAAAAGTAATTATTCTTGAATACCAATATGGTCTACAAATGAGTCGACAAACTATTTCTACCCAAGCATTTTTCCCCTTCTTTTTGGTAGTATTAAAATATGTGCTTGGTTTTTTTTTTTTTTTAAATTGGGTGCCATAGAGACATATAAAAAGCACAAAAAGTATTGAAAAAGGAAAACACATTGGAGGTGAGGGTTGGAGCCATTATGAGAAGTGTAGAACTACTTTGACTGCTTCAATTGCATACATGTTCACACTAAAGCACTTTAACTCTTTTACGGAGCAAATGACACCAAATGCAATGAGCTAAAAGAGTAAATCTTCTATATACTTTCAGTATAAACTGAGTTTATATTGATGGCTTACCATATTGTGCCATTTCATTGCTAGAAATGAGTAGCTTATTGAAGCCTGTATTGATTATCAAAATATTTAATTAACAAATATTTAGTTTGTAACAAAATCATCATAAAAAGTACTTCATCTTCTGTTCTCCCTCTGTTTATCATTATATTTTGTGCTGAAATTGGTGGTTCCCCATTGATTTGCTGCAAAATTAATTGGAAGACAGATTTGATTTTTTTTAATCTTTTCTCCTTCTACGTTATTTCGATCATACACTATCTTTTGCTTATTAGGTTTTCGCAAAGTGTGAACCCTAATTCAAATATTTTTTCAAGTTAGGATGGATTTTGTAGTATGAATAAAGAAATTTTTGTATGGTAAAATATTTTGAAAGAAAAGTAGGAAACAAAGATGAAATAGATGCTGAAAGCAATGATGAAATAAATATATCATATATAAGGGAAAGACACTAACGTTATGGCGTAAATAGTTGCAGCTCTGTGACTGGAAATCCTAATTATTAAGTTTTCTTAAATATATCCAAAGCATTTGTTTTTTTATTCAATTATTGGTTGCGTTTAGTGAAGTTTGTCTCTCAAAGTTTGATATCGCGTTTGCGGTTGGATCCTAGAGTTCCTAAATCACTCCATGGAAAGAAACATCCCAGATTAACTTGATGGGTGGATTTTAATTAGAGTCCATTATCATTCCAAAATTATATTGGCTATTATCTTTAAAGTTTGGTTTGTTTATTTGTCAAATCGAGTTTGAACAAGTTTTATATCAAATTTGACTGTTATAGAACATAAAATGCTGTTCAAATTTGGCTTGATTAATTGAGAATTGGGAAACTAAGATCGAACGAATTTTTACCAATCAGATTTCGATTCGAGTATTGAGTAATTTGATTCATCTTTCAACTTCGTCTAAATCACTCCATGGAAAAAAAAAATCCCAAATTAACTTGACCGATGGATATGTATATGTAGCTTTTGGATTGCTTTGATGAATTTGCTAGCTTTTGGATTGAGATTGCTTGTTAACCTAAGTATATGTAGTTAATTGTCAATTATGTATATAAATTGGTAGTGAGATATAGAAGTTGGACCACGACGACGAAGCCATAAACCTAGGCAAACCCAAGAGCAAGGGGAAGAGCAGGAATCTGCAATTAACCAAAACTAGGAACAAGGAACCCATATAAGTGATCTAGTAGCTACTGCTTTAAATCGGATGACTGGCCTTTTAGAGTGTATAGCACCCCGACAGGATCAAGTGGTTGGGTTTGTAAATCAACATAGGGAACGGGAGGTAAAATTATCCATTACGAATTATACACGGGTTGCATTTAAGAGATACAGGAAGCAACCTAGGAACTAGAAGATAAGATGCGAAAAGAATACCTGGAACTCTTTATAATGGAAGGTACGAATTTCGATGGTGAAATTTCTTTAAGGGGGGAAGGATGTGAGAACCCGAGAAAATTATGTGTATACCCTAAAATTATTTTATTTTATTTACTTTGATATGAGAAAAATTATATATAACGAATAAACGGTTACCTTAAATGTCTTATTGAATCCCTATAAATTGAGAATTTTGAAAATAAATTCAATAAGTACATGTCTAGAAGTGTAGAAAATTTTACGAATTAAATAAATATATGACATGCATATCGTAAATTGTGTTAATTGCAAATATTATTAGACACGTAACCTATACTAAAAGTGTAACAAGTACATGTCTAATAAGTTTTTCTTAAAGCTACATGTGTTAAAAATCAATGTAAGAAATTTCCCACGAAAATACAAATGAAGTTAGGAGTTCATGCATAAAATTATAAAAATTTCAGGACTTAGAGAGTAATTAAACTACAACCAAAAGACCAAACTAAACTTAAAATTCTAGACTAATTACCATGCGGCCATCACTTGAGCTATCAGAATTTCACAAAAACAAATGGAACCGAATGGAAGCTAGGCAATTATCTGCTAAATCCAAGCGGTGGGAGGTTAGGATCTAACTGAGGTTGGGTGGTGAATTGAGACAGCTGTCAGGAGGGAATGCATCACCAAATTGCTGAATAAGCAATAACCGAATGAGAACAGCGTAAAGAAACAAAAATTGGCGGTGGCTGAGACAAAACCAAAGCTGTCGTCCTTTCTTACTTTCTTTCAAAAACAGACTCGAGTGAGTGAAAAGAGAGAGAGCAAGGTTAAGAGAAACCAGTTACAACTTAGGTAAGCATCATAATCAATTAGCCAGAGCTGAGGAAGGGACTGCAAGGAACGGGAGAATCGAGTGCTAGGAATTGAGGAGCTGAAACCGAAACTTGAGCAGCCTGCAACATCGAATTTTAAGGGGAACAGGTAAGATTTTATAACAACTCGCTCTTTAGTTGGTATAATTGGATAAACACCAGCTGCATGTCGAATTTAGCTGGGAATTTGAGCTTGTGGCTGAAGTAAATGTCGGGTAGCAACTGTAAAATTGCAGGAAAAGGGAAATTGCAGAAAACTGAGATTAAAGCCTGAACCTGCAACTGTTATCAAATTTTTCTTGGGATGATAACATTAAGAAGTGCTTGCAACAGATATTTCTTCAGTATTCTCGTGAATTCTGATCATAAACTGTCATCCTTTCTTTAGGATAATTTTTAGCTAAGTCATTAGCCTCTATACGTTCAGTTGGGACGTAAAACTGAATTCGATGGAGTCTGATGCATGCTGCCATGCATCAGGTTTTGCTGCTAAGCTCAGGCACGGGATTTAGCCCAGCTTTCCTCTGAATTTTGGTCATGAACGACTCTGCTTAGCTTAGGATAACCTGCAGTAGATTGAGTGTCCTCTGCATAAGTGATTGAGACCAGAAACTGAGGAAGTAAAGGCGAGAAAATGCCAAAAGATAAGCCACTGTTTTACTGGAAAAAGCATTTGCTGCAACCGAGGAGGGGAGAAGAAAGAAACTTTGATGATCCCGTGAGAACCCGAAAATTTTCTGAATTTCTAGGCCTTATTTTCTTTCTTTGTATCCGTTTTCTACATTTTTGTTATTATGTTAACTTTAGAGATATTTTTACAAGTAAATACAGTTTTTAAATTATTTTCTAGTATAAGTTAGTTAATGAGATATTTGAAGTGTATAGTGGATGTGGGACCCGCTAGTGCGTTAAGTGTAGTTAATTTGGCCAATTAGGTTCAATTTTGCATTAAGGGATTAATTGACTAGGTGTTAGGAGATAATTGGAGGTTAGCTAGATTAATTTGTTAGGAGAGACAAAAGGATAAGTGTTAAACCTAAAAGGTGCTAGGTGGCGCGTTTTGATTGGAGGGTGGACTTTGACTACTTTCTTTCACCTTACTAAACATGAATTTTGACCAATTTCATCTTCATTTTTCTTTCTCTTGGCCGAACAACATAGAGAGAAAAGAGAGAAAATTCCTCAACTTTTACCTTCTATTCTCTTGTTTAATCTCTTGATCCAACCATTTAAACTTCAAATTCCTCCATAAAAACCTATTGCTAGGTAGGATTGAAGAAGGTGGTGGAGTGGTTTTAGAAGTGGAGGTGCTAAGTTGCCATCTTTCTTGAGTTGTAAAGGTAAGTTGCTAAGAAATCTCCTTTTTGTTCTTAATAAGGAAAGATTAGTGGTTTCTAGTGGCCTAACATGTTAATTTGTGGAAGACTTCATGGGTTGAACTAGTGTTTGTTGAATTTCTGATTTAATGGAGATTTTTCTGATTT